AGGTTATGTACCGCAAGCTGAAAGGGGGATTAGAACATTGGAACGAATGGAAGCAATGACGTGAACCTGAAGTAAGGAAAGATTGAAGCATACATGGCGCATTAACCGAAAGCGTAACCCTCTCAACTTCTTTCGGACTAACTCACTATTTGGGCGGCAAAGAGGGGAAGGCCAATCCTCACGGAAGACGCCTAGAGTGGTGAAAATGCCCCTCTCGAAAGAAGGTTAATATCCATTAGAATGACCTGTGTTATCGACCCGAGCGGATGGGTTCAATATAGGGATTATTCACACGCGAGTAGATAATAGAAATAATGTTCTTCATTGGGAATCAATGTTTGAATAATTAATTAACCATTTATGAAATAAATAAGAACTCGGTCTGATACTGAAGTTATCAGGCGAGTATAAAATATAAAGACGATAATTAAAGACTCGTCGAATAACTGGCCTAGAGGCAACGAATTCACGGATTTTTATTCCCTTGTAGATTCGATTGCATCATTGTTCTTCGTCGCACACCTGCGAGGCATTGGGTGACGTCTCCCGGCACGCGCAAAGGCCAGTCGTCGGGGCGCAAAGTGCTGATGCTGCACCCCAGTTGTCTACATTCGTCGAATATACGTGGATTTGATGCACGAATATTTGACATTATTTTATATTTCTTCATTTTCTGTTTTGTTTCGGATATTATGTGCCACTTTCGTGTCCTCATATTATCCGGATCAACAGAGAGATTTCATAATGTTATTTAGGGGCGTAACATTCCTCCCCGCCAAAGAAGAAAATTATTACCCTTAGGAATTTGCTATTCTAATCCTATCTCATCGACACAATACTTGAGTGACATAATTTTCAGCAATTATTTATAATTCATTACAACACATATATTCTTACCGTATTCCGACGTTCGCTGCTTCCCTCCTAGGGGCTGGCCATGGTTTCCGACACCAGCAGTAAAGGGTCAGCCCTAGGATGATCGCCGGGATTACCACCACTCCGGTGGAAATCGGTGAAGGGTGTGTGAGAATTTCTCGATAATCGAATTTCTTCTGGATTTTATTAAGGTTCTCCTTCTCAGCTGTCAGTGGCACGTGAAGCCCTTCCAGCTCCTTTATGTTGCCGACAACATTCGTCAGCTGGACGTCACTTAGATTAAATCTTCACTGTTATAACTGGGTGACGGTGACGTCATCCAATGTCAAATGCAATTTTGGGTGAACATGAGCATTGAATGTTACTTCGTGTGATTTCCTGCCTCTAAAAGTGAAGTCAGTTGCTACTATCTCACAGAAGTCCTCGACACGCAGGATTTCTGATATTATGTGCCACTTTCAGGTGACTACTACTCCCTCAGGTTCTGGTGTCACGTAAAACCATGCGTTGTCCTTTCTCATTTTTATGAGGGTGAGCCCTTGAAGCTGCAGATGTTTCACGACACATATAGCAGGCATTTTCTCAGGACTCATGTACATTTGCACCTCACATAGACTCGTATCTTTTTCTTTATGAATTGGAAGAGATTCGGTGCACAAGTATTGTCCCCGAATCGTCTTGCAGTGATTCAATTGTCTAGCGGTCATTGGCACGAACTGTTGTGTCACCCTGTGTATCACCAGAAGCTCGTTCTTCGCCTTCAGGTATGAATGATACCCGTTGGTTGTCCGCACCGGAATTTCATGCGTCAGCAAAACGTCGAACGCTCGAAAGTTGACCAGCGGGATTTCCACCAAGGTGATGATTTCAAATCCGAATGCATGTACACTGACTGTGGATAGCTCCTGCATTTGATATATTTTGCCTACTTCGAGCTCAAAGGGGAAACTTAAACCCTTCGGTAACTTCGCTGTTTAGAGAAGGGTGACTAACCCTGTCTCTGTGAAAACTCCCGTATTCAATATCGACTCCTTGGCATCGGTTAGTAGCTTCCTGATCTTCGCAGCATCCCTCATTACTCCAGTGTAGATTGCTTCTAGTATCATGAGATGTTCATCGAGGTCTACTTTATCCGTAATTATTAGCACCTCGCAATCCTTATCCCTTAAGAACTTCATTAGGATCTCCTCGTTTTTCTGAATCATCTCCTCAGTGTATCCCAATTGATAGAGAGTTCAGTTAATAATCTCCATCTGCTTGCGAGAACTATCGAACGTCCCTTCAACCCCACTCTCTAGCCGACAGTCTCTGGTTAATGATCAGTACACCCTCAGCGTCCATTGTACCGAACAATGATTTGGCAACAGACCCTCGACCGTCTACGAGACCTGGGCATTTCTTTGAGAAGTCATTGATCCCCAGCATCCTCGGGATGACATCTTTAGTCTCTGCAAAGTCTTCAGACCATTGATCAATCAACAGCTCAAAATTTTTCCCGCTTTCGTATACTCTTTTATTGCATAGCTAAAACCCTTTTACGCTTTTATTGCTTTTTATTGAGATGCTCATGGACCTGATCATCTCTCAGCATCAAAGGCCATACATCAGTTGATGCAGTTATACTCCATACCTGATTGCTCAGATACAATTTCCCGGTAGGGTCAAAAGGAATTCCAGGAGTGTAAATGAACTCTTCAATCACATGCCCCTCTCCCCGTACTTCAGTTGCCATACTCCCTAGCGTGAGCATTATGAAGGAAATTGCAAAACCCATCGATTTTCGTGTTTTTGCAAAACTACAGGTTCTTGAACTTGAGCCGAACATTAACTCCAGGTGACGTTGACGCCGACGTTGACTTAACGGCAGCCATGTCTGTCGACGTTGCAACCTTTGATATAAAAGTGTCTGTCACCCCCACTTTGTCACAGTCCTCTTCAAAATTTTGAACGAAAAGGTTATAATAAACCAAATCATCAAGATGAATCCAGGAAAGTGCCTCAAGTGTGGAATAGCCGGATATGTTTTCCGAAATTGTCCCTTTGCCAAGTGTGGAACGTCCTCGAACTGGGGTATCTGCAGGAGATCTCGTCGGGTAGGACTTCGCCCGTCATCATCCATTCCTGAAGCTCCAAAAAGATGCTTCAAGTGCGACAAGCTCGGACACCTCTCTCGTGTCTGCCTTTTGCGCTTCAGCATCCGTCCTGGAACGAGTGTCGCACCTTCATCTGGATCTCCTGCGAAGAGACTTCGCCTTGAGGGCTGCACGAAAAGATCAGCGCCCCGCTGCCGTGTTTGTCTTAGCTTCGAGCACCATCCTCTGGACTGCCCTTTGGACCACTCGAGAAGGCCCGTCAAGAGAAGTGTTTGGAATCGACTCGGAGCTCCTGTTGCTCAACCGAATCACTCCGTCAGGAAACACCCGTATCTAGAGCATTCGCTGGATGCATTCATGTATGAATACCTGGTGAGTCCGATTACCTCTTTCACTATCTTGCTACCCTGCTTCTCCTCGACATTCAAAATCTCTATTTCTTCTAATTTTCCCCTATTTTTTGGTTTTTCTAGTGAACTAGATTCCCTTATTATCCCGGGCACTTGAATCTGGAGTATAAGGAGCAGGTCAAACGATGGAAAAAGGCCAATCGAAAGGACCTTAATGCCCTTTGGGACCTCCCCGTACGCTCCGACGTCGAGACCGGTGTAGAAGATGTTTACAATCTCCGTGGTCTCTACAATCAAGCTCCAGTTCCTCAGCCATGCCATGTACCCCAATTCCTGGGAGACAGTGAGACGAGATGTCCCCACTGCAATGCTTATCGTTGGGATGATCCTTCCTGGGATGAAACTGGCATGGACGACGCTCCAATAATTCCTTTGGTGCTGTGACAGAACCTTATAATTAATGGTTTAATCGAATGAATGCATTGTAAGGTCAATCCTGTTTTTCCCATGAAAAATCCCTTATTCTTTAGATAAGAAAATTTCAGGTCTTCGAAGGGTTGATTTTTCCGAGGCGGTCCGAGGGGTCCATATAGTCATTCTTCTATAAAGGGTCGAAGCCAATTTACATGGACTCTCTGCGTGTTTTGCTTGTTCCCAGTTCGAATCGTGTAGTTGACGTCAGAGTTCCTGTCGACAATCACATAGGGACCTATCCAGGGCTGCGTCAACTTCTTTGATCTTCCGCGTCGCAAAACATCGTTTTTCAGAAGAACTTTATCTCCAACTTCGAATTCGATTTCCTCCGCATCTTTGTCATATTGAACCTTTGACTGCCCTTTTACTTTGTCAACGATCTCTTTCGCCTCCTGATGAGCTGCACGTAATCTCTCCCGAAGTTCCTGAGCGAAGTCGTCATAACAGTATGTCAAACGGGACGGCTGTTTAACGGCTGTCGGTAATTCAGCGCGTCTTCCAAAAATCAGCTCAAAAGGCGTCATTTTTGTCGTCATATGGGGAGTGGTATTATACGCAAATATCGCATATGGTAGCCACGTATCCCAATCCGTCTGATCCTCTTCAATCAATGAAGCTTCTCAAGTATTCCTAGAGTGCAATGTGACCTCTTAACGATGCCATTAGTCTGCGGATGATAAGCCGTTGTCTGGACCTTCTTAATTCTCAAAAGTTTACAGACATTTTTGAATATTTACCCCACGAAATTTGGTGCTTGATCTGTGAGCAGCTTCCGTGGTGTACCGTATTCGCAGATTATTTTCTCCGCGAACGCACATCTGATTGTGTTGGCCTCTTGATCAGGGATGGGAATAGCTTTTTTTTTTATGTCGCGCCGTGCAATAAGTCGAGTTTATCGCACGCTGCGCTTCGCGCAGCTCGCTCAAAACTCGACTTCTGCACGACTTGACATAAAATATTATAGAGCACTCGGTAATAAATTTCGTTTTCAACGAATGTGTGTACAGACCTCGCCTTCGGCTCGGCCTATAAACTACACATTCGTTGAAAACGAAATTTGTGCCCTTGTACTCTAATGTACTATTTTTTTGTATATTCCGGCCCTTTCTGCCCTCTGATTGGCTAATCGGCCCTATCCAACCCTATGCATGCGACTGTGGATTCTACACTGCACCGCATTTGCACTCCTATAGAACATAGGAGTAGCATGGGAAACCACAGAAAACCCATGCCAGTACAGACGGTAAATTATATTTTTATGAATTAACCCAAGGGGTTTTTATCCGTAATGACTGAACGATAGTTATCTGGAGGTTCGAGCAAAGGGGAATTAAGGCAGTTATTCGCCTTTTCTCCTCGCGAATGCACTTCACACCTGAGTGAGTGCCCTTTTTCGCTGCTGTCACTCTCCCGGGAGTCATCCTGGAATCACCACGAACAAATGTAAAGAGAGCATAGCCCATGGCGACCAATGCAGACGAGTGGGCTATGTTCATCCACATGGCCTTCCAGCTGCACTGGTGAATCCAATGACTGCACGAAGCGCCTTAGCCAGGGAGCGTGAGTATTTCACCTCAACCTCTGTAATCATTAGCCTGCACTCAACGAGATCACCGGGAAGCGCGGTTTATCGGATCTGAACCACGGTGTGTCGTCGTGCACCTCTCAGGATCCGCAAGATTTTAAATACAAAAATATAACCAAGAAAATTCAATTACTGTAAATTTTCCCTCAACCGTAGAACCGCAAATTAATCCCCTAAAATCCGAAATAAACCAGAAAAATAACTGAAACTAAAACACAACAAAAACTTTAATATGACTTGAACCGGAGATTTTATTTTTTACTCGTTTTTAACCCCTCACGTACGGGGCCTTTCTGATACCAAGTCTACCACACGCTCAATACTCTTCGCATCCCACATTTTCTGATGAATGAAAAATTATAAATAAAATATATAATTGAAGCTACAGTATTTACCTTCCCAATGGTATTAGCCCGATTATATTATCGGCCATAGTTTCGGAAATATTCAATTTTGAAAAGAGCCGTGCGTTTTTGCATGGGTCGGTATGACATACCGAGCCCGTACGTGAGGGGTTAATGTGTATCGACATGTGAATTTAATTATTTATTGAAATTGAACGTTGTTTTTCCCGCGAGGCCCTTCCTGATGTTATTGGAGGCCGGTTTCTGCGAGCTGGAGCTAAAAGGGGTGTTGCATCGCCCTTCGGTAGAGGTGCTAACATTTTGGGGTAAAGAAATCGCAACTCTCTCTCTCGGAAAAGATCAAAATAGTTTGACACTTACCTGCTCACTCTTACGATTTACTTAATTCTACGACGAAGTTGTGTACAGGTGGCGGAATTCTCGAAAATTTCGTCACAGAACTAATCAAACACTTGACACGTAACAGTCGATCATATTATTAGGTGTGTGAATATGACTCCGCCCTTTTTTGTTCAAATAAAAAAAAAACATTTGCTTGTTTAGAAAATTAAAGAAAAGTTTATTGAAAGTATGCTCCATCTACAGCTACAACTTTCGCCCATCTTTCAGATGATTTACGTATTCCTTGCCTGGAGACATCCTAGTCTTTTGAGCTGATCCAATTATCAAGACAAATTTTGATACTTTCGTATAAAGTGAAACGTTCTCCCGTAAGATCTGACTGCAGTGTTCGGAATAAGTGGTATTACGAAGGAGTTATTTCTGGCGAATATGGCGGGTGGAGTAGTACTTCCCAGTCCTGTCCATCTAATATCTTTTCACAACTTGGGCGGTATGCGGTTTGGCATTGTCATGTTGAAGAATTAATTTACAGTGCCTATTCACCCATTCTGGTCGTTTTTCTTCTATGGCTCGCTTCAAACGCATTAATGTCGTCGGTAAACTTCTCCATTAATAGTTTGAGAGGGTTCGAGCAACTCATAATATATAACACCTCTTTGATCCCACCAAATGCAGAGCATAACCTTGGCACTGTGAATATTTGTTTTTGGCTGGGATGGGCCGGGTTCACCTGGCTTCACATAAGCTTTTTGGCGTTTAGGATTCTCATAATATACCCATTTTTTATCTTCTGTGTCTATTCGATATAAAAATCCTTTTCTTTGCTGTCTTTGAAGTAGCATTTCACAAATTGTTTTTCGACGTTCCATGTCTCTTTCTTTCAATTCATATGGAACACAGTTAGCAACTTTTTGCACCATTCCCATTGCTTTTAAACGCTTTGCAACAGTTGGTCTTTCAACATTTGATGCTGCAGCGAATTCTAATTGAGTTTGGCAAGAATCATCTGCCAATAATGCCTCCAATTCAGCATCTTCAAATTTTGTTGGTGGTTTTCCACGTTCTCTGCCCTCAGTGCCAAAATCATTATTTTGGCACTGACGAAACCATTGCTTGCAAGTTTTATTAGATGGAGCATGCTCACGGTAAAGCTCCACAAGCAAACGATGAGTTTTCGCTACACTTTTCTTTGCAATATAATAGTGTAATAACACTTCCCGCAAATGATGTTTACTTGGAACGAAAACCGTCATTGTCACGGAGGTAAAAACACTTGTTGCTTACATTTCAACCAAATGTCACGTAGTGCGTTTGACAGCTGACATAAAGTACTATCGAATACAAGTATTGCTATTGATTAGTGCACGTAAGCAATACTAAAAACGACATCTGTTGGGAAAGGGCGGAGTCATATTCACACACCTAATACAATGATGTGCTCAGTCAATTGGTCTAAACCAATCGCACGCTTGCTACACAACGATGTATCTTCTTATTGCGCCGACCAATAGAATTTCTGATGCGTCCCAACAAAAATGTGGCGATCCACGGGTTCTAATTTTGCCGCGCAAGTCTGTTCATGGACATTCATCCATGGACAGCGCTTGCGCGGGCGTTCGGCAGTTGCCGTATTCTCTCGCCGTTACGAGCGAGATGCGCTTGCGCCATTCATTCGTCGCACATCGCTTTTGGTGAGTTGTTCCCATGAGGGACTTAACGTTGTAACGCTCGCCCTCCCAGTCACGCCATTTACACCGAGTAATAAATCCAGTTCAGTTAATGAGGGTTTAACAATTATTTAATTCACCCAAATTATAACCCCTCATGTAGTGACCGCGATCGTTGTTTTTTTAGTGGATTAATGGTTGTTTAGTGCCTTGAAAAGTGTCAAACGGGTTTATAAAGTCTCTGGTTTTATTCCCGGCCGCGTGGTTTCGTTAACCTCGTAATTAATTTCGATAATTCACGTGGTTTTTTACGGTTGTGATTAATCCGGGGGTTTTTAATACCTTTTTAGGGGGCTTCAGCTGTTCGTAACAGTGAGTGGGAGTGTGGTTAGGACACATTTTTGTGCATTTTTGGGCCTTTTTCGTTGTCGGCGTCGTGGCGTCAAGTCTTTTTCTGGGTTGTGTGAAATCCGTAGCGTTTTTTCACGCGCAGTAGCAGCAACAGGGAGGCAACGCTGGAGCGGAGGCTGATGGTGACCAGTTGCAGGCTGCTTTGGGTCGAATTACAGCTCGCATTCCGACGTTCTGGCCTGATCAGCCTGAACTTTGGTTTCATCAACTGGAGGCGCAGTTTGCCCTGTCCAGGATTACTACCGAAGTAACCAACTTTCGTTGAGTTGTGGGGAAGCTTGAAGGTAAGTATGCTGCTGAGGTTTGTAAGGATATTTTCCCGGGTTGTTCACCCAGGAAAAATCCAAACTACTTTTTATGCCGTCTCTATCGCTCAATAATCGGGCGCCAGCCGAACCTTCACGGGAGGTTCGACGAAAACCTGCCTCTGCGGCAAACTCGGCCACTCAGAGGACTTCTGTGGCCGGGCAAAGTGTTGCCCAGCTAGCATCAGTGTGACACGGTAGAGTGGGCGAGGTCCACCCGGAGTATCCTATGCCAAACGTCACCAGCCACTATTTCAGGCTGGCAATTAAGCCTCACGGCCTAATCGTCCATGCAAATTGAATTTACACTCGTCCTGGAGGGTTTTTCACTCTCTCAGTAGGCTGTCTCCTCCCGAGTATTTCGACTCGGGAGTGTTTCAGAATTAATTGCGAATCAGCCGGGACTCCTCAGAGCCTGGGACGCCGAGAGGTTGATCCGACCAAAGTGGAACACTGGATAACACTGTGAAGTGTCACTTCACGACCACCCACACTCTCGGCCACCAGTTACCGCTTCGGTCATCGCATGTCACCGTCTCCGGGTACTCGAATGTCGACACATGGTCGGATCGACAGGAGGACGATCTCTACTCCAGACCCACGGGCCCATGCGCTCGTCATTTGTTTCGCTGAGCCGGATAATGCCGGAAACAACAAAGTCGTCACTAAGAGTTCCGAAATAACTCTTTTTTCCGTTTGTGGGGGATGCAGGAGCATCCCCCTACGTTCGCTACTATCAGTTATGTACCTGGCTGCGCTGAGCTATTCGCCCACCATTCCCGTGGCCATCTTTCAAGCCAACACTACAGTATATCCCGGAGAAATCCTTTCGACTTCCCCGCTCGAGCGTTTGCGTTCGACTAACTCGGAATCTTACTAGGGCCTTGCCTCCTAGTCAGGATATCTCGGCGACGAGAGGTCATTCCGTTACCCTATCCGCACCAATCAACCCGACGGGATCACGGAGGTACCAGTCCTTTCACCTGGCCGTTGGTCCCTAGTCTACTCCGACATAGCCTATAGAATCGCCCAGTTGGACAGCCTGTATGTCGGCCCCTTTTCCCCTAACACATGCTGGGCGAATTCTAAAATAGCGATAGTCTAGTAACGTCCTTTACACTTCCAGGGGTCGCGGTTCCACCCAAAACCGCTGAGCCTTCAGCCTGTCATCGGTCTGTGGCTCTTCTCATCCAGTCGCGGCTCTTTCAGCCATCTCTAGATGTCGCTTAATGTCTCTCTTTAACAATTTCAGAGTTTACCTCTCTTTTTAAGGGGATTTCAACCCGTAACGAGAAAATCTCGTTACAGGTTTCAGACATTATTGTTAATCATCCAGCTGTTAATCCTTATACAGCCATTCGTGCTGCTCTGGTTTCAAGAGTTTCGCAGTCTCGACAGGTTCGGTTGCATCAACTGCTTGCTGGTGAGGAGCTCGGTGACAGACGTCCTTCGCAGGTCTTTCGACATCTTAGACAATACGATCTTACAATTTCAGAAGATGTCGTTAAGACTGTGTGGTTGGACCATCCTCGAGAGGTTGTTAGGGCGGCTGTCGTCACTCAGTTGAATTTGCCAATGGAGCAGCTAGGTCAAATAGCTGATAGCATCCATGAAGTCGTTGGTGGTGTTCGTTTGGCGGAGGTTTTGAAGCAAGCACCTGAAGCTCCTGTCCCACCAGCGTTGGCTAGTCGTATTGAGGAGTTGTCGTATCAGGTTGCTGCACTGTCGTCTCGTTTCGGTCAGCAGTTTGGCGGTCAGGGTTCTCGTTCTCGTTCCCGGTCTCGTTCGCGTAGTCGAGGTTCTGGATCTGGTGGCAGCGACAATAACAATGGTCGTTTATGTTGGTATCACAACAGATTTAGGGAGAAAGCAGCTAAGTTCTTTGATCCCTGTTTTACGTCCCCACTTCTCGTCGGCAGTTAAAATTGAGGCGTAAAACAAAAATAAAAGCCGGTTAGTAGGATAATATAAACAAATCTAAATATGTTGATTTGCAGCCAACATAAAATAATAAAATATTAACCTAAACGTTCAAGAGAGTAAAAAACGGGATTTTACTTACAGGTTCATCGCCAATGACAGGGTTAAATACCTGAAAACAATAAAATATAGCAATAATAAATTAATAAAAGACCTGTCGTGGGTGACGGCCAAAAATGAATATTGAAAAGAATTATTAGAATCAGAGTTATTACTATACCATGTTATCCATTATAATATGTTATCCACGGAAACATATTACCCACCATCAGCTGCAGCCGGTTATCCACTGCCGGGTTACCGATTGTTGTGCCCACGGTCGAGTTACCGACTGCTACACGCGATACCCACAGAAGGATGACCGACGGCAACGATGAGTATCCTCCCTGGTACAATCATCTATGAATTGAAAACAAAATTGTACGCAATAGAAATATTAATAATATTATAATAATACAAATAATTGGTAATATTGTAAGACAATGTCAGTACAAAATCTCCAAGAAATAATATAATACTAAGTTGTCACCACACGTGCCTGTTATGCCCCAAAAAGATGTATACAAATTCTCACTTTGATCCGGATAATATGATGACACGAAAGTGGCACGTATTATTCGAAACAAAACGTTGAGAAATGAATTAAGAAATAAAACACACATCGTAATATTCGTGCGTTAAATCCACGATATTCCGATGTGAGTGAGTAACCGGAGTGCAGCGTCAGCGGATTCCGCTCCGGCTACTGGCCTACTGTACGTTACACCTTGCAGGTGTGACAAAGACAGTGATCCGAATATACGAGGTGAATAAATACTCGTGAATTCGGATTCTCTGGGGCAGTAATACGACGACACTTTTATACTTATAACTTCTTTGTATTTATGTTCGCCTGATACCTTTCGTATCAGACCGAACTTTCAATTGTTAATTATAGTATTAAATAATCGTTTAAAATCAATCTCAATAAAGATTTATTAATTGCTAATTATCGCGAGTGATATTCCCTACAACTGAACCCATCCGCTCGGGTCCATAACATTTTGGTGGCAGCGTATCTTTTGGGACGACAGAGGCCTGATCAACCACTGTCCTATCACAAGGTGATATAGTACGAGGTAATATCTAGAAGATTGAACTACCTGAGAGTAGACTGGTCAACATCCAAAACAACCCTGCATACTCAATCGTATTAAAAGGGCTTAAGAGAGAAGTAGCTACACGGTAAGATTATTTATTTTGGCCAAAGTGATAGATAATCAAAGATGTCAATTGAGGGAACGAACGGCAATCGGCGGGAGGAATCTCCGTCCGACTCCTATTCTCTCATGGGGCCGGGATTCAGACGAGAATTGTTCGGATCCGGTGCCAATAATATTAACACACGGCGGCAATATGCACAGTCGTTAAATTCCAGCATGCTGGCTAGTAATCAGCAGCGTGTGGAAGCTGAGGTTCATCACGAAGATGATGACATACCAGACGAATTACCGGGGGTAAGTCAGGCAAATAGCACTCACCGTAACTCAAGGAGATCTTTGAATAATCCCAATAACGGTGGAGGCACACGGCCTGGCAATCCTTCCCGTACGAGAAACCAGGTTCCTGGGAATCCATTTGAGGAGGACTTGGACGCAATTCACGAATTTCCGGAAGAAGAGAACTCACGAGAGAGTTTTTCTACTCCATCTAACGTTTTCTTCAAGGCAGGAGCGTTCGCTGCAGGAGGATTTCGTCCTGATGCGGGAGGAGCAAATGGGGATCGTCAAGAAGATGCGGCAGATGCAGTTCCAAATGCATCACAGCCGGTTGGAGGGCGACCATCCCGGCGCACCGACCACATCAGGGACAAAATTAATGACATATACGATAAGGTGAGGAATCTTGAACGGGAGAAACGTGAAGTCCACGAGGAAATGGCTCAACGTGTTCTATCAGAAAGGCGCCGTCGAGAGGAGGCAGAAAAAAATTGCGAAGCAGCAAGAGACCTCTTAGAACAGGCCTGGGAAGAACAAGATGCACGGTGCATCAACAAATCGACTGTGAGGAGTCACCTGGATTTAAAAGGTGCACTCCAAATGGTGCGAAATTTCGGGGGAGAGAACGCTGATAAATTAGATTGTTTCCTAAAATCAGTGGAAAGTGCAAAGAAATTAATTTATCCAGAATTACAAGAATTCTTATTGGAAGGAATTCTCGGGAGTAAACTAGATGGGAACGCAATGAAACAAATCAAACACAGGACAATTACTTCATTCGAGGAATTGAGAACTGTGTTAGAAATGCTGTTCGGAAAAACAAAAAATCTCGTTGGGTTACAGATGGAATTCAGTAAACTACAACAAAGGGACAACGAAGATGTCACTAAATTTGCGAGCCGCACAGAGGAAGTCACAGTAGATTATTTGAATGGTCTTCTTGGTCTTCTTAGTCACTTCTCGGAAAGGGAGAAAAGGGCTGCGAAAGAGGTTGTGGAGGCTATGGCTAAATTGGTCTTCGAACAGGGCTTACGTGGTCAACTCCAAATTTTAGTCCGATCAAACCACTATCAAACACTTCACGAGGCCTGTGCAGGAGCCATAGAATTAGAGAAAACGGTTCCTGGCTCCTTTAAGGGCAAAATCGGTGGTTTTACCGGACCTCAAAAAACTTCCACGGGAAATAACAGAGGCTCTTTTGGTCGACAATCCACTGGAAACTGTTTCAATTGTGGACAATCTGGTCACCTTGCAAAAGACTGCCGTACTTCGCAAGGAGGTCAACGCAAATCAACATTGCCGGTTGCGTCAGATCGGCGAAGCGTCAATGCATTTGGCACTGTTTGTAAATATTGCCGTTATGCAGGGCACGAGATTACAGACTGCCGAAAACTGAAGAAACGATTGGGAATACCAGAATCGCAAAAAATTCCTGCGGAGTTTGCAAAACCCGATATGAAGCAAAATAACGCAGCTAATAATAGTAACAGCCAAACTTCTAAGAAAAAGGCTGATAAAACAGAAAATGACAGGACGTTACCCATGGGGACATATCAGGTGATGACGATTAACCCTTCAACAGGACAGAAGAAAGATCTTCAAGGGGACAGCAAAACCATGATCAAACCAGCGCAGTTGGCAGAGATAAAAACACAGATTTTTCTCACAGCGGAAGAATTGAAGCAGCCTACTATGTTCCTGGCTGATTCTGGAGCAAAGGCTTCCCTTGTAAGGAGAGACAAACTGTCCGAAGGGGTCGAGATTAAACCTGGAAGTCGATTTCTGAGGGGAGTCGATTTCTAACCAAGACGTCGCAACCCTGGGTGAGGTCAACCTTTTCTTGAAAATTGGAAATAAATACCTGGGACATGCGTTTCAGGTAGTTCCTGAAACTTTCCCATGCATCGGGGGAATACTAGGGGAAGATTTTCTATCTTCACCTAGTTTGAAGGTGGAAACAGTGCATAGAAAGGCACTGATCATCAATGGACAACGATTTCAATTTTTTCAAGATAAGGAGCCTATGAAAATTGAAGCTAGGAGTGAGAAATTGGTACAAGTTTCCACTCGAAGCTCTGGCACGGGCATTGTCAGCCGGAAACCGCTGACATCAGGCATTTACATGGGTGAATGTCTTACTAAAGCCATTGATGGACAAGCGGTGGTGTGCATCATCAACACAACCGATAAAGATAAATTCGTCAATTTACCGACGGTGGAACTGGAGGAGTTACCATCACAGGATTTAATTATGATGTTGGAGAATGGAAAACAACCCGAAATCCAAGATCGCATCAAACTTCTACATGAGAATCTGCGTTTGACCGATCTCAATAAAGAGGAGAAGCGCTCCATTTTGGAACTTTTGGAGGAGCTCAACTCAATTATGCATTTGCCGGGTGACACTCCGGGAATTACAGACCATCTGGAGCATGAGATCCCGCTTAAACCTGGCACAGCACCCATCAACGTCCGACCTCATAGGTTACCGGAGTCTCAGATGGGCGAAGTTGACCGTCAGGTTAAGGAGATGCTGCAAAATGGAGTTTTGTGTCCGAGTAAAAGCCAATGGAATGCACCTTTACTGGTTATGCCTAAGAAAATGGACGCATCTGGGAAGGTGAAATTCCGTGTTGTCGTGGATTTTCGTCGTTTGAACGAGGTCACGGTGGGTGATTCATTTCCATTGCCTAACATCTCTGACATACTGGATCGTTTGGGCAACGCAAAGTATTTTTCAACTCTGGATCTGGCTTCAGGCTTTCATCAGATACCTGTGAGGGAGGAAGATAAATGCAAAACAGCATTTTCTACACCATACGGGCATTATGAATTTAATAGGCTGCCTTTCGGAGTGAAAGGTGGGCCAGCTACGTTCCAGCGATTAATGAATTCTGTTTTAGCTGGAATTCAGGGAATTCGATGCTTCGTTTACCTGGATGATATCGTTGTCTTTGGAGCCGGTTTAGAGGAGCACAATACAAGGCTGAAAGAGGTCCTACTACTCTTGAAAGATGCAAATCTTAAACTTCAACCAGACAAGTGCAATTTCTTGAGGAAGGAAGTCGTGTACTTGGGACATGTGATCACCAAAGATAGAATCAAGGCAGATCCCAGTAAAATAAATGCTGTAAGCAGCTTCCCAGCGCCCCAAAACGAGAAAGAGGTGATGTCTTTCTTGGGCCTAGCGGGATATTACCGGAAATTCATCAAGGATTTCTCCAAAATTGCCAAGCCACTTACAGAACTGCTGAAAAAGGATGTTTCCTGGACCTGGGGAGAAAGAGAGCAGAATGCAACAGAGAAGTTGAAACAGACTCTCACAACTGCGCCAATCTTGCAATATCCAGATTTCAAGAGACCCTTCTTGCTGACAACAGATGCGTCAAACAAGGCGATAGGAGCGGTCCTGTCACAGGGCGAAATCGGCAAGGATTTACCAATTGCCTACGCCAGCAGGACGCT